AGCCCATGCTAGGATTAATTTGCTTCTGAAAGCCATCCCCAACCTGACACAGCAGGACACTCTGGTCTTTCTCTCATCAGCCCTGATCTCCGGTTGGAGAAAGCTGGTTTGCACCCTCAAATCGAGCCCTGCTCAGTACAATTGTGGTCCGCAGCTTTTTTGGGGCTGATTCTCTTGGCCCCAAGGCCCTTCCCTATGGTAAATTAATGGGCTTGCATGGCTTTGATTTTGGAGAAGGGAGATAACAACACTGCACATCTCTGCACATCTACGCAGAGAGAAGTCTCCACGGAGACAAGCAGGTAAGCCTGTGTATTTCTGCAGCCTGAGCCTGGTGAGCTTTGGGGGAAGATGAGAAATTGGATTTCAGACTTATTGTTTCATTAATAATTCCGTTCCAGACTGCTTGCTGTTTTTAACTGATTGTACACCCATCAATTACATTCTTTTATTGTGGTGCTTCATTATTTGCTAGGGGCCTGAAGGCTATCTGAAGCACATGACAAGGATATGAATGGGTAGAAATAAAACAATTGACATAGTTGTCTTGGTCAGCAAGGCAGAAGCTGGATCAGCCAAGCAAATTAGCTCACTTCCTATAATAGCCCCTCCTGTTATAAAAGCTAGATGTCCTTTCACCCAGGTTAGTTGAAGGATTGTCCATGTTGACCGAATCTACCGGTTCTTTGGCTGGTATGATGTGAAGATCTGAATCACTGCTGACACTAGTGACAGGACCTTCTCGGCATTGGCCCCTCATCTTGTTCTGTAGAGATGGACAGATGGCCCCATCAGTGTTGGCCATCCAAAGGGATTTGAAGAAAACTCTTTTTAATTGAGATTACAGGTAGTCCTCACTTAAAGACCACAACAGGGACCGGAAAATTCATTGTTAAGTGAGGTGGCCATTAAACAAGGCACCATGTGATCGCATCTGATTTTACATTTTTTGCTGTGGTTGTTAAGCAAGTCACATGGCCGTTAAGCAAATCACATGGTTCCCCATTGACTTTGCTTGCTGGAAGCTGGCTGGGAAGGTCGCAAATCGCGATCACATGACCCCAGGATGCTGCAACCATCGTAAGTGTGAGGACCAGTTGTAAATAGCTTTTTCCAGCACTGTCATAACTTTGAATGGTTGCTAAATGAATGGTCGTTAAGTGAGGACTACCTGTATCTTATTTATGATGTCATTGGCTTGTTTGTAATGGAGCTGATGTTGGTTGGTTTGAACTCTTTTTTTAAATAGCTAATTCACCTGAGCTTCCTTTTTGAAATAGGTATTGGTCATTCATGTTTTAAAATTGTTTGGTATTGCTGAATTTTTTTTTCATTGGTTCTCAAATGCTCTCAGGGAAACTATTTCAAGGCAGCTAATTCATCGAGTGACTCTGTACAGGCATACCCATGTAGCATTTATGCTTCCCTTTAATGTTGTAATATACCTTAAGAAGACTTTAATCTTGAAAAGTATCTAACAAATGAATCAAGCTAACAAAGTAGCTATCTTTGCAATATTATACACAATATATCTTGAGGACTAGCAACTTGTACACCCTTAAAGAACAACTGCCGTTTCCAGGGTTCTGAATTCTGAGCTGATATGACAAATTGTGCAAAGATCTAACGAAGGCAAGTGGAAGCGAGCAGGCAGACTGAAATACTTACGATCCTGTCGGGGCGTGGGACGCTTTCCACCAAGCACTCCAGCCGGGCCTTGGCCCCCACTGCTGTCTGCTGGCTTGGTTCAGCGCTGATAATGGGTGGACCTGGAAATAAAGGCACAACCTGAGCAAATTAGAGGCTGTGGAGTCCTTGGTCCTCTCTGAGCTTGGGCGTTTGCTTGCAGAGTTTTCATTACCTGACTAGGTAACATCATCAGTGCGAATGAGTGTTGGGTTTGCTTCCTGTTTATATACAGCAGCCCCTCCGGCCAGTGTTGGTGGGGTGTGGTTTTCTCCTTGGTAGTTCCTTGATTAGAGTATCATTTTCTGCTTGATTGTCTGGTGTTAATCCCAGCTTATCTGGGTGTAGGCTGCTGGAGAGGATGTGTTCTGGTCATTTTGTTTCCTTCCTAGCTTTTTTATTGTCTCTTTTGAATGGTGTGTAAATGGGGTTTATTTCTATGTGTCTACTGATGGCTGATTTGTCTAAGTGCCAAGCTTCCAGGAATTCCCTAGCGCTTTTGCATTTAGCTTGGTCGAGGATGCTCACAGTTTCCAAGCTGAAACTGTGGTTGAGTCTGTCCATGTGTTATGAGATTAAGGAGTTTTCCTTGTGTCTTCTGACTGCTAGTTGCTGTTCATGGATGTGCTCTGCTAGTCTTCTGTCTGCCTGTCCTACAGTAGCTGTTACAGTGCTTATACTGTATGTTGTAGATACAGTGCTCAATGTTATAGATGTAAGAATGTACATCTACAATGCTGTAGATATAAGTATGTACATCTACAGTGTTGTAGATGTAAGTATGTTGTAGATACAAGCTCAGGGAGTGCCAAGGACTCCATAGTTCAACCCTGAGCTACATATATTCTTGTCCATTGAAAATTAGGGGATGTCAGGTGACCTCTGATGTGCCAGATCCCTTAGCTCCTTGTTGAAAAGGGTTTGGTAGGGAGCCTTGATTTGATTAAAATGGGATGGTGTCAAGAAATGAGGATGGGGAAGGTCCTTCTACTTTCCTCTTTCCTCCCAGCAATTCCTCTCCCCATTTGGGAAATTGTTTGAGCCCTTTCCTGTCTTTGCCAGATCCCCCCTTCCAAGCCTTGAACTCTCACCATTCACAGCCAGGGCCACCTCTTTCTCAGCCACTCCAATGCGGGGCACGATGGCTTTGCACACGTAAATGCCGGCGTCCTCCTGCGTCACTGCCTTGAGATGCAGCGTGTTGCCGTTACTCAGCACCTGTTGGTGTAGGTTGGCTCAGTTGACCGTGTCTTCCTTAATGGCAAAGGACGATGTCCTTTTTCTGAGGTTCTAAAAATATTGGGGGGTCCATGGGTTGCCCACCCCCACTTGAAAGAATGAATCAAAAGGAGTCTGGTAGCACCCTTTCCGCTAATGCATTTTATTAAACGGCATAAGCTTTTGTGATCTGCAACACCCTTCATCCGTTGGATGGCACCTTTGAATTAAATCTGTTAGTTGGAAAAGGTGCTACCTTGCAGACTCTTGATTTGGGGTTACTGTCAATTAACAGGTTTCTCTTCCTACAATGTCCCTTTCAAAGAAAGGGGAGGATTGGTGGAATAGACCTTTTGTTACTGGTGGTCCCAGCCTTGGCATTATTTGCAAGTTGCAAAGCTGGAAATTTGGCAGGGCCAAATTTAGACCTGGGGAGGCCCTAAGCTATGGGAAGTGGTACAGCAGTGTTTCTCAACCTCAGCAACTTTAAGATGTGTGGACTTCAACTCCCAGAACCCGCCAGCCAACCATGCTGGCTGGGGAATTCTGGGATTGAAGTCCACACATCTTAAAGTTGCCGAGATTGAGAAACACGGCAGTAGAGCAATATTTGGCAAGTGCTAACAGAGAAGAAGGCTGTGGAACAATTGAACTTGGCAAGAATGCCACCAGGATGCATAACAGACCCGTGATGGGCTGGGGATGGGCTCTCTTTGAATAGAAGGTGCCAATGCATGCGGAAACCAAGAATATTTTAATCAATTAATAAGGAAATGTGAACCACAGAGGAGGGCTTAATTGATGGAGACTTTCTTATATGAAATTGAAGGAGGAGAGCAGTGTTAGTCTGTGGTGCCAAGAAATCAGGAGTCTGGTAGCACCTTTTCTGATGAACACATTTGATTAGAAGGCATCAGCTTTCTCACTTCATCAGACACAGCTCTTGAAAGCTGATGCCTTCTAACCAAATGTGTTCATCAGAAAAGGTGCTACCAGATCCCTCCTAATAATAAATGAAAAAAACTTCTGAAATGTTGAGAGGCCCCTTTAGACTATGAACCTCTATGTTACTTTAGCTGATGCCTAAATCTGACTCTATGGTTAGGACTTTGGTGAAAGTCTCTCTCAGATCTCTTGTCTACCTTCTGACATTGGGCTTGTGGTCACTATCAATATTGTAGAGAAAACGGAAATTGACTGCCAAGGGTCCACTCACCACACTGGATCCTTTCTTTGTCCAGGCCAAGGTAAGAGGCGGGTTCCCCGTCCAGGTGCAGGTAAAAGAGGCATCTGAGCCAATGTCAACTGTCAGGGGCTTGGGCTGGGAGACAAGGTGAGGTCCAACTATAGGAGCAAAGAAGAGGAAAGGGATGGCTGAGCATCAATGACAGTAGCCAAGAGGCTGGTAGAGGCATCAGGATCCCATCTCACTTCTTAGTCTATCTCTGTATCCCACAGTCTACCTATAGTTTATATCTCATTGTCTATCTCATAGTCTATCTCTCTCCACTAGATTAAGGCAAAGCCTCCAAAAGGATTGCCCAAGACTGGTTTCTACTTCATTTCTGCATCCCTGGTTTACCAGTAGAAATTGCAGGTTCAGTCTAGAAGAAGTGCCTGCCTGAAGCCCCCAACCCCTTCCCTAATTCCTTCTTGAAAGTTTTGACTCACAATGGACGTCCACCAGAGTGCTAACATTGGTGCTGCCTACAGCGTTGGACACCTCACACGACACAGGCTCTGTGAAGAACGACTGGTCGACCGTGGCCTCATAGCTGTCACTGTTGGCATCTGGGATGGGGACACCTCCTTTAGCCCACCTGTCAAGGCAGACATGGTCTTAGGAGAGCTTGACTCAACATGTAAAGCTGGGTTCATATCATGGGCAGTGCAGTGGGCTGTGAGAATAACCTTGGGAGACAGGAGGAAGAGCTGCAGCCTCAACAGTGGTCTGACAAGAGATATCTCAGCCCACAGAAGGAGCGGGGGTGGAGAAAGTGCCTCAGAAGGGACCCTCCCTTGTTCTCTGGAAAGTAAAGGCAGGGGAGGGGGGAAGCACTTTCAGATTTGCAAGGGTCTGTTATTGTAACCTTATAATAAAGGTAGTGTTAGTACTCATGGCTTTGGTTCCCTGTCTGGACTATCTCGAAAGGGCGGACAGGCAGTGTCCAAACAAATAAATCATGGTCTGGCTTAGTGTGGTGGCCTGGTTCATCCTCCTGGGTAGATTTGTACAACCATAACCAACCCACCCATCCATCTAATTTTACTCTACTCTTGTGTGTCATATGAACTCGGTTGCTCTGAGTTATTGCCCCCTCATTAGAACCTGCCACCCTTCCACCCAAAAAGTTAAGTGTGCTCCCTGGCCATTGAAAGTTTGTCCTAGAAGAAAAAGTTGTGACATTAAGGCCTTTTTAATTTAGTTAAGAGGTGAGCAAAGGGGGAAAAGCTTTAGGTGTGAAAGCAAG